TTTTTTTTTTTTTTTTTTTACTACTGTTTCTATTGGGTTTCATCTCTAGCCTACCCCAATTTGTTTGGGACTAAAAGGCTTTGTTGTTTTTGTTGTATCGTTTGAGTTAATGTGTTAATCTTTTCAGATATCTTTTCTGTGACGAATTCTTTGGAGAACAGTCCATGTTTTATGACATATTTGCAGGTATTTAAGTCTACCAATCCAGAAAGTTTGAATTTTTATCATATTGATCTGATGCTAAAGAAATGTTTTGACATATTAGTATCATTCCAATATGTAATCCCATAATTTAACAATCAAGTCACTTTATTCTGACCCAGCATTTTCTGAAATATCAGGTCCCTTCTCAGTAATTGATGAACACGTTAATACTATTCTTCCGAATTGTTATGATGCAATAGGCCTGATGCTCATGATTCGCATAATATATCAGCACCAGGTAAAATGATGCACTGATGATGGGTTCTCCATATTGAATTCCAAACAAATATCACAACTTTGTAGTCTTAAATTTAGTCTATTCTTTCCTTTCCATTGTAGTTTTCATTGATTTGTTTGGATTCATGTTTATATATTATACTTTGAGCAATGTGAAATTCTCAGTTACGTACAGCAAATGAATTTTTTTTTTGAGTTTGCTTAACTCGTCAAAAACCTGTTTCAATTCAAGTGTTCCTTTAAATTCCTGTGATGCCAATTTGGGCTTGTACAGATGTGTTGAAGCCATATTAATGTTTGACATTTTCTCAAAATCCAAAATACTCCGATGTTGTCGCTCTGTCGTCCCCCCACCCCCCCCCAAAAAAAAAAAAAGAAAAAAGAAAGATAAATCACAGTAATGTGTTTCATGCGGGATGTAGGTTACTAGTTGTATACTTCTTTCAATTCAGCTGTTTATATGATAACCATATTTTTGTGAAGCCAAATTTAAATTTGAGATTATTTGGTTTTACATTTTTAGTTTCTTATTATTTCTTGTCTTTTCTCAGCTTGTAATGTCTCGGCGACGCATACCGTGTTTAGATTCTTACTTGGACAAGGTATGTATCATCAACTTTGGTTAGTAAGCATTTCCTATGATTGTTCTGTGTTCCAGTTTATTGTTGCATGTGACTTTATTTATGCTGTACCTTCCAATGGCTTTGTTATGTATCCTGTAACCGTCACTAAGCACACCGTCAACTTTAACTGCGTATGCGGGTAACAAAGGCATCACAGGTGTGGATTTTGTGTCACGTGAGCAGCTTCTGTGCATTTCAAATTAACAGTTGAAAGCCGTATTGTATCTTAAACTTCAATGCTATTGCCATTTTTTGAACGAACGACCGACTTAGGAACATTGATTTTTAACTTTTGTTGTCCCTGCAACTGACATAAAACTGCATTAAATCAGTAAATCAAGAGAGATTAAAGACCTTGGCCATGATTAAACAACATGGAACCAGTCTCTAATAGGACTTCAGTTTTACCTGTGTTTGGTAAGCTTGTAAATAAATTGAATTTTTTTTGATTCGATTCAATATTCGAATTCGATATTCGTGATTCAAATAACGAATCCGAATTCGAATTTGTAGATATTCGATTTGAAATTCGAATATTCGATTTGTTAACAATAATTATATATATTTTATAAATTATATATAGTATACATTTTGTTTATAATATATGTATGCATATATATATATATATATTGTTATATTCCTAATATTTTTATGACATAAAAAGTAAAACCATCCTAAATTAACAATTTTTCCTAAAAACATGGAAAAACATAAAAAGTATTTTTGTAATTATAATATTTTTTTTAATTATAATTTTTTTTTTTTCTGAAACGAATTTCGAATCGAATCGAATATGTTCGAATATTCTAAACGAATCGAATTCAAATAAAAAAAGAGTTCGTTAACAAATCAAATACGAATTCGAATCCTCGAATATTTTAACGAATCCAAATCGGATATCTT